ACCAGGGGAGGTTTAAACTGGACATTAGGAATCATTTCTTTACAGGGGGCTGGTCAAACTCTGGAACAGGCTTCCTGGAGAAGTGGTCAATGCCCCAAGCCTGTCAGTGTTCAAGGGGCATTTGGACAATGCCCTTAATAAGATGCTTTAACTTTTGGTCAGCCCTGAAGTAGTCAGGCTGTTGGACTAGATGATCGTTGTATGTCCCTTCCAACTGAAAATATTCTGTTCTATTCTATCTATTTCCTTTTTGAAAATTCCTCTCTCTTCTTTCTCCTAACCCTTTTTTTTTGTTTTACCATACTCACTATTGTGTTTGAGAGCAGATTCAGATAATGAACTAATAGAATTTTGTGACAGTATTAATTCAGTTTGTGCTGCTCACAAACCATCATCACCGTGTGTTGATTGTTTTGTGAATAGATGTTCTAATTGCCTGTCTAAAAAGAGACTGGGATTACATGGCTAGCAGTACAGTTATATAGAAATGGCATGCTGTTACAGAATACAGCTGGTGCTTCTGTGGCACTGGATTATATTTGCAAGTTACTGATAAAAATAAATTTCTACATCTGTAGAAATTGAGGAGGGAGCATAGGACAGACTAGTGCTCCTACGTGTATGACAGGATTGCCAGGAAACTTGTAACTGCAGAGTGTTCTTTATTGATGAGTGTAAGGGGGAGAATACTTTAAATGCACTGTACAGATGGAAGTGCAAGGAGGACAGACAGAACAGCTAATGAATTTACCTACTCTGATGTTAATCTGCTTTCCTCTTTGCTTCTGTTGCTGCAGAGCTGATGGCTTTTTACAGGTGTTGACAACAGAGAGAACCTCAGTAATACAAGATGTAGTGGTTTGACCCACAGTAGGGCCATGTGGTCCTGCACTCACTCTCCCCACCCAGTGAGATGGGATAGGAGACACAACAAAGGGGACACGGGATTAGGAATGAAGGACAGGGATGGCTCACTCACCAGTTATGGTCACGGGCAAAACAGACTCAAATTTGAGGAAGAAAAATCAATTTAATTTGTTGCCATTCATCTAACTAGACATAACAAGCACATCTTACAACACCTTCCCACACCCCTCCCTTCTTCCTGGGCTCAAATCACTTTGCTCGCAATGTCTCTACCTCTACAGCAGCACAGGGGACAGGGAATGGGGGTTCAGTCAGTTCACCTCTGCTGCTCTTCCCAGCATGAAAGTCCAGGAACAAGATGTTCCAACACAAGCTTCCCATGGAGTCACGGACCTCTTTGGTTTCAGCTCCTGGCTCCGGCATGGGGACATCCAGGGGCTGCAGACTCACCCCCCACTCTGGGGGTCCACCCCCACCCTGGCAGCGAGTGACTCTTGGGGTGACAATTCCAGTCACACTTGCCCTCAGGCTCAGCTTCTCTGCTCCAGCCTGGAGTCCTCCATGGCCTACATGTGGGTCTCCACCATTGAGTGTCCATGGGCTACAGGAGACTTCCTTTGTCTTCTACTCCATTCAGTTGAACTGCGTGTCTCAAGGTTCTCTGTCCTTTTTCCCCCTCCTCATATTTCCTCTGGCAACGAAGCTGTCTCCTGTGTCTGTCCTTTGTTTAGGCCGATGGTTGTCTTTTGTTAGGTCAATGTTAGGTCTCTCCTCCAGGTTCTCTCCACCTTCTTCTTTTCAGGACAGCCCTTCCCCTCACCAATATGGATTCACAAAGGTGTTTCTCTGGTGCTCACTGGCTCAGCCTGGGCTGGGGGGTCTCTGCCTTGGAGCCAGGGGAGCTTTTCACTCTCACAAGGTGACCCTTCCCCCACTAACAAAAAAACAGCCTTAGCACCTCAAACCAGATAAGTATCTTGAACTTTTAGAAAATCTTTAGTGGAGGGACAGCTGCTGAAGGCATGGCTGTGCCTATGAAGCTGAGGATATAAACATCACAGAAAAATTAGGTCTCCTTAGCTTCCAGCACCCTTTATACACAACTGTGCTTCCATTTAATTAGAAGGCAGATAGGTTAATTCCTTTCAGCAGTTTGTAATTTAGGAGAGACGTGCTAGCAGCCCTGGCAGCACGTGGTGGTTGCACTAACACTGAGTGAAAAATCCATTTCATAAGTCCACAAGGATCTGTGAGCTGCATGGATGATCACAGCAGGTTTGTGGCACTGTAAGTAGCCATCTCTGAGCCAGTCAGATATGTTTTTGATGACAGGTTTTTAGTCTGTTTTTTATAACCCTAGCTAAGCAACTTCCGTGATTCACTGAAAAAATGAAATTCTAGTGTATTGCTTTCATATTTTTTCTTTATTGTGTAGTCTTTTTTTCACTGCTGTTTCCCCAAGGTGATATTTACTGTTCTAAAAACTTGGAAAGAGCTCCATAATAGAAGAACATCACTAGAATGTAGGGCTTGTTCCTCAGGAAAAGCTTTATTATTGTTCATTTATAATGATGCTTCTTTATTATAAACAGATGCCATGATACTTATTTTATTGATATGTACAGCAGAATCAAAAGGGGAGATATATTAATTCTGTTTCTTCTGCAGTGCACAGTTACTTGTGGTGGTGGAATAAGGACTCGTAATGTCACTTGTGCCAAAAATAATGATGAGCCATGTGATACTTCGAAGAGACCAAACTCTAAGGCCCTGTGTGGTCTCCAGCAATGTCCTTCTGCTGGAAGATTTCTGGCACCCCCACTGGCACCCAGAAGAGGAAAGATCATAATCAGAAAAACAATTACTAATCCTGAATGGAATCCTCCTCGCAGAACACCCTTACCAAGCCCGAGGTCCCATACAACAACAAAAGTACCCAATCCCAAAAGTGTAACTCCCTGTTTACCTACATCCTCTGGTTTGGGTAATGTGTCAGAAAAAGAAGGAACTGCCAACAAAACATTACAAAATAATTTTTCTGGACCAAGTGATGTTTACAGTTACCCGGTTGTTTCTACTGAAAATAATTCACTCCAAAATACTACTTCATTGCCTTTGCATAAGAGCTTAAGTACTGAAAGTATTTTTGAAAGGGAGCCAGTTTCTACTGTAGAAAGTGAGGTGCAAAGAAGTGGGGATACTCCTGTCTCCTCCTTTACCAGTAGTCCAGAAATAACTTCCAGCTATGATTACTTAACTGAAGAATCTGATGACATTGATGGGTCAGTTGGAAGCAGTGAGAAACCGATTGATCTCCTTTACAGCACAGAACTCGATCCTGAAATCAGAACCAGGGGCACACCCCTCGATACCAGCTCTCCTGTCCTTCAAAACAAAAGCGTGACTTCTCAGCCCACCACTGTGTCTCATTCTACGCTCCTTCCTGTTAGCGGAGCAACACAAGGACTGGCATTTCCAACAACAGCAAACTATATCAGTCTGCAAGTTGATGTGCCTGTTGTAGAAGTAACAACCCAAGAAGCATCTGTTACAGTAATGCCCACAGTGTTTTTTCATGTACCGAGAGAGCAGACTGACAACACAAGGGAAATGAAGCTACTTGACACCGTGACCTCCAGCACACAATCATCAGCTCTCAAGCATGTTCTCAGGAACCAAAGTATAACATCTGAGGACGTTTTGATGACTGTCACACCAAGCAGACACCTAATAACATCCAACAATTTGCCTGGTGATGCCTATTGGATAGTAGGCAACTGGAGTGAGGTAAGTTGGTTTTATCTCATAAGAAGTGGAGAGTGTGAACAGCTGTCTGAACCACTGCTGAGGAAATATAGTTTCTTAGTTTGTCATGATTATCTGAAATGAGTATCATGCATTCAGTTGAAATCCTTGTCACACAAAAAAAAATTAATAACTTTGAATACCTTATGTTAGGTTGCTTACATAGAATGTGTCTGTATTTATGGATTCTGCAAAACTATGCATAACTCTTCCAGGGACATGACATTCAGGTTTAACTATAAGCAGAGATACCTCAAGAGTTCTGTTTTAGGGCACCACAAAAAATTAAGTTATTAGATGAATCCTGGAGACACCAAATGAATATGCTTTTATTTCCAAATAAGTACATAACACAAGTTAGCTGCAGTTGTGCTGTTGTGTTCTAACCTTCACTTACATATCATTTTTTTCTAAGTTATGTGTGTTTTCTAACTTAGTATGTGACCAGGGTCATGTAGGTAAGCTAGCTTTATTACGGCATAAAGCACATTAGTAACATGGATATTTAAACATATTTTGAGTTCGCTGTTAACATAACAGGTTTTTGTGCTGCATTTCTATCTCATCCCACATCTGTATTTATATCCACCATTATGCAGATACCTTTGAATTCAAAGCAGCATTCAGCCTGATAAAACCAGTTTCAGTCTACAAAGCAAAGATATGAATATTAGAATAATATAAATAAACTGATATATCCAGGGCTTGTAATCTGTCCAGCATGTGTCCATGGGGAGACATTGTAACATGGGGTTCTGCAGCTTTTTTTGAAGTGTAGGTGATCATGTATTGGAACTCGGCTGTGGCAGCAGAAAAGTAAAAGCCTTCTGTCTGGTCGGCTTTGAAGTTAGAATCATCAGGCCAGTGGTTGTGGTTGTACAATATCTTTTTGATATGGCAGCTGATAATTAACAGGGTTAATACTGTGTCTTATTTGACTGTAGAAGTGAGCAGTTACTTTATCTGTGTTAATGGCTGTGCCAAAATTAACTTTTTAATTTCTAACTATAGTGAAATTCAATCAAAACAGGTGTAATCCTGTAATACTCACTTTTGAAAGCACTGTATTTCTGTTTGAGTGAATGAAAGAAGTACAGGGAGTTTGAAAATCCTTTTGAGGTTTAAAGCATCTGGAAGATACTTGGCCTGAAAGGTGATGACTTATCCTAGCTTCCTCTGATCCCTGGTCATTACAGAGTGGTTATAATACTTGGATAACTTCTTCTGTGCAGGAGCAATGTAGGTTGCAGAGTTTTCTGTGGCCTCAGAAAAGTGCTTATGATTTTTTGTATATTGCTGTTGACTTTCCTTTACCAATACACAGCACCAGGGTCTTTGACAGTTAGGTTTCTGTGCTGTTTCATTGCTGTGTCCTGAGGTAGTAATTTCTGTGGAGTTAGTGAGTGAGGAGGCAACCACCTAATTCTAGCACCTATAATAAAAGAATATAGAATAAACTTCTGTTTGATGCACTTGCCACTGTAAAATTCTATTTTTTTGTAAGCAGAGGGTTTTTATATGCTAATAGGTTTTATATTCTTTAAATCATATTACCTAAAGTGAGAGACTTTGGTATCTGAACAAGTTACTTCATTTTTCTGATGGCCTTTTTTAAGCACTCTAATTAGTACAGCCAAAGGTCCAGATCTGGAAACTTCTTTGTGCTGATCTGCCTCTGTGTCTCAGTAGGCTATCAAAGGTCTGTTTCTCTGTATGTTTGCTCTGTAGTCTGCCTGGAATGATGCAAATTAATGTAAATGCAGAAATCTAGAACTAAAAAGGACAGTAAGAGATGATTTAGTGTATCCCATGGCAGTGGAGGAACAGGTAAGCCACCGAGATCCTTTTGGTGCCCTGTGTCTGGATGCAGCCAGTGGGTAACACCCCCGCTCTGTCACCACTGCATCAGCAGTTGTTCAGGACATGCACTTCTGATGGCAGTCTGAAGTTTCATCTTGTGCTTTCCCATGGCCAGATGGGAATGGCTTTACCTTCCCATGTTCAGGTGGGACAAGTGAAGCATTTCCTTCTGCACTTGCCCAAGGACCTCCATTTAGATCTGCCTGGGTGAAAGAGCCTGCAAGAGAAAGTCCAGGCAACGGCTGTGGTCCCAAGCCCAGCACATCCCAAACAGAAGTCTGTAATACAGAGATGCTACAGTCTGTCCTAGTCATTCATTACCCACATTAGAAGTATTTTTCTTATACATAACAAACATTTTCTGTACTGAAAATGAAGATTCTGGTTTTTATATGCAGACCATGGAGGATAATTGTCTTTTTAATAACTGGGTTTGGATCTGTTTTCTAAACAAAACCATCTGGTTCCTTTCATGTTTTCCATGTGTTTTCTAAATATCTGGTCACTTTGGTGTTCTTCTAGCTCAGTTGTGGACTTGCTCAGTTTCATCATATATTTCTTCATCAGTGATGTTCATTATGGCCCCAGCTGACACCTCACAAATAAAACTGAGTAATTACTATATATGACCCTATTTGTGAATGTTGCAAAGAGATTTGTCTTGTTTTGTAACCATTCCACTTTCATTTATTCAATTTGTTGTCCACTGTAAACCCTGGATCCCTTAATACAGTATTTCTAGATCAGCAGATGTTCTCAGTTTTGTTTAGGGTGTGTACATATGTGTGTGCATGTGTGTGTGTGTATATATGTGTGTGTGTATACATATATATATAAAGTTCTCCTTAAATGTAGCATTTTGCATTTATTTTTGAATTTCAGATTGTTTTCTTACAATATTTCAACTTGGCAAGATATTTTTCAATTCACATTGCGTCCTCCAACATTCTTGCCAACTCTCCCAACTTGGCATCATCTGCAAATGTTATAAGTGCATGCTGTCTTTCATTATTCAGTTACTTAACAAAAATACTGAAGAGAGATTGGCTCTGGACAGAGCCCTGCAGGACCATATTTGAAATGTCTTTTCATTTTGACACTGAATCACCAAGGACCACTTTATTACAGTTTTTCAGTTAGCTGTGCATCAATCTTGTAATTATTTCACATGGACCATATTTCTATCATTTGCTAAAAGAATGCTGTATGAATCCTATCAAAATGCATCATATCAGCTGGCTTTCTATTTTCATTAAGCCACATAGCCCTGACAGAGAAGGATCATAGAATCATAAATGGTTTGGGTTGGAAGGGACCTTTAAAGGTCATCTAGTCCAACCCACCTACAATAAGCAGAGACTTCTTCAACTAGATCAGGTTGCTCAGAGACCTGATACTAGATTGACTTGAATAATTTGTTCTGTGTGGGTTGTTTTATTGCTTTATCATCTTTGTTAGTGTTTACCAGTTTGATCTTGATTGTTTAGTAATTTGCTTTTGTATCTAGTTGTGAAGTAAAGTTAGGTGAAGTGTTCCAGGAGTCCACAGATCTGCCTTTTTCTTTTCCTAAAGTTACCTTGAAAGACAATAATTTTCAACACTTACTTTATTCAAGAACACTTGAATGAATATCGAGGTAAGGTAAATATATTTGGTTTCAGAGAACTGATGAAATGAATTCAAGGATACTTAATGCATCTAATTTACTGTACTATTCTTTAGTGTTTTTGTAATCTTTTGCTATTCTCACTCAACCTATTGTTTCTTGTTAAAATTAGCTTTATGTGAAGCCTGGAACATTTAACTTCCCCCCTCCCCTCCCCCCCAAGTTTGACGAAGAAAAGGTGTTGAAAAAGAGAATTTGTGGAATCTCTGTCCTTGGAGATATTCTGAAACCATCTGGACAACTGGCTCTAGGTGACCCTACCTGAGCAGGGGGGTTGGGCAGGATGTCACCCAGAGGTCCTTTCCAACCTCAACCATTCTGTGATTCTGTAAATAAGTCATTTCTTATCTTTCTTATAAAATAGAAGTTCTCTATTTCCTCCCTACTCCTTGATTCTAACATTCACAGAACCTTTTATTATTGTTCATTACTTTTAATTAATTATTAGTCTGCTAAAGTCTACTGACTTTATTTTTGCTCTTTCTATTTACCTATCCTTAGTAAAACTATGTACCTGTTTTTAGATGACATCTCTCCAAGGAATTCATATTTTAAGACCATTGCATCTACCTAATTGAATCTCCTGCTATGCTCTCTATCTTTCTTTTTTAATGACTGCCAATATTCTGACATTTCTTTATTCTTCAGGATGTGTCTGTACTAGTAAATGAATAGTACCCAAGTAGTGATAGTCACTGAGATGGGTTGGCATGACATGTCCCATAACACTGTTGACAATTACCTCTCAAGGGCAAAACAGTGCTCAGTGACACCAGTGCCTCTGTCTTTAGCTTTTAACTTCTTCCATACTACTTTCCTTGGTTGTTCTAGGCTGTCACTTTTCCCATTCTAAGAGCTTTTTGGGTACCAAGATACCCTGTTACCATCAGATCTGTTCATTCTGCACCTCTGTTACTGGCCATGAAATTTCACCTGCTCTTACTGTCTCTGTAATAGTCGTCTAATGTATCAAGACTAAGTCTTGGTTCCTGAGTGACAAAAGGAAAAAGCAGTAAATCTTCCTGAACTTCAGAGCAATCCGTCTCCTTAACCATGAAACAATGGTCAAGAAGGCTAAAGCTTTCTCCCAGGACTATTTGCAGCATCATGCTTTTCTCTCGTTAGAAGGTCCTGTAGTGATAGGATAAGGAGTACTGGTTTTAAACTAAAAGAGGGTAGATTTAGACTAGATATAAGAAAGAAATTTTGTAAAATGAGGGTGGTGAAACACTAGAACAGGTTGCCCAGAGTTTTGGTTAAAAGCCCCATCCCTAGAAACATTCAATGTCAGGTTGGACGGGGCTCTGAGCAAACTGATTTAGTTGAAGATGTCCCTGCTCATTGCAGGAGGGGTTGGACTAGATGACCTTTAAACATCCCTTCCAACCAAAACCATTCTATGATTCTCGTGGCTCTGTACTTCACAACAATTTTTGAAAGAATCCTGCTGTGTTTCACCTCCCTCAGACAACAACATAAAGCTTTATAAATATGATCTGCCTAGCATCATCCCTGGGCTCGTCTTTGGTCTTCTCATGAATACTCAGAATGGGGCTTTGGTCAAAGACTAAGCAGCCCTTCAGTGAAGTCTTGGTGTTGTCAGACTGGTATCGCAGGGCTGGGGGAAGCCATTGAACAGTCAGCAACCAAAACAAGGGCAGTGCATCCTCTTGAACAGACAAATTGTCTTAGATAGATAGGTGACTAAGCAAAACTGAACAGTGGTACTCAGTCCCCTTTAACAGGATCTTTATGGCCTCTTGGACAGATGTCCCAGGAATCTCAGAGGCTGGAAATGGCAGATTCACACTCTTCATAATGTACAATTTTAATTTTTTTTGTTGTTGTTGTTGTGACCATTAACCATTTGTCTATTTTTCTGATTGAATCGGGTAACAACTCCATGTCTTCAGTGGTTTTATTTTTCCCTGCCTTAGCTTCAGCTTAGCTTTCCTTATCTTTCCAAGGACATTTACTCAACTTTCCCAGTTTAACTCTCCCACTTGTGTGTTGGGAGTTCAAACCACACAACAGCAGTTGCTCTCTTCATCATTTTGGTGACTTACTCCAAGATTATTTATACTATTTCTTAAGCCAGCTACAAGCTGCTTGGCATGTGTTGGATTTGACTCTATGCATGTAGTTCACTTTCCCTCCCTTTTTAAGGAAGAAAAATGGGTGTCTACAGCCACTTTTCACCTCTTCCTGCTTCAGAATACAATGATATTGACTTTTTTTGTGAAGAGTGTGTACTCTTGGGATCTGTACTGGCATGATCAATATTCTCTTACCTCAGACACTAAAACCCTCCCAAATGTTGGAAATGCTTAGTGACTCCCTGAATTAATCATTTCAAAAATCCTTTTCCTGCACAGTCTTCCCAGGAGTCTCACACAATTTATTTCAGCATCATGGACTCAATTTGCTGAATATCTCATCAGCAGTATTAGGGATATAGAGGGAACAGTGCTGAAGACTGGATGGAATGACATTTTGCATTGGATCCCCAAAGGTAACAGAAAGAAACAGTGGAACAGCTGGTACAGATTTAGAATGTCTCAGTTAGCAGGAGTTTGCCAAAGAAGAGCAGTACATGCTATAAATCAGAATTGGTATTTTCTTAACAAAGCAGAACCTTAAGTAAGATTTAGGTGAATTTTAAAATCTTTTTTTGAATATCTCAGATAACCTAGGTCATCTAAAATGGCTTCAGATATTTATATTTAGGTTCCTGGATTATTTCCAGAATGATTTACTAACCCCAAGTTTGCCTCTGGGCTTTCCTCTCACCCTTATGCAGTGCTCTACCACCTGTGGAATGGGGGCTTTCTGGAGACACGTGGAGTGCAGCAGCAGGAACACATCTCACTGTCAGCACATGAAAAAGCCTGATCCTGCAAGAAAATGTTATCTCCGCCCATGTGCTAGCTGGAAAACAGGAAACTGGAGCAAGGTAACTTCATTCAGAGCTGTGGGTGAACAGTAAACTTGATAACTTCAAAGAGTAGGGATTTCCAAATACTTCATTTTAAAAATAATTATTTACTCATTGAATGCATACATGATTCCCAGTTGACCATTCAGCACTAATTTACTAATTTCCTGACTAAGTTATTTATGGAAACGCATCTGCTGTGAATTCTGTTCTTCCTGTTTGGGGTCGTGCTCATTAACTCTTGCATCTAGAGCTAAAGCAGGCTCACTGTCTGTGTTCTGTGGAGATCCTAGGGCAAAGCTGTGCGTATTTGCATGTGGCATCTTTTTGATCTCTGCCTCGAGAGGCATATCCTAATTTCACAATGCAAGTGGGAATTTGGGAGAAGGATTTGGCGTGTTCCTATTCACCCTTGCCACCGTTACCTCTTATGTGATGTGTTCTGTTCCCCATTCATGTAATCTCTAACATTACAAAAACGAAATAAAAATGTACTGGGGAGAATGCCTGCTATGGCTAGGGTCTTATTTCATAGAATCATAGAATGGGTTGGATTGGAAGGGACCTTAAAGATCATCTAGTTCCAACCCCCCTGCCAGCAGCAGGGACACCTTCCACTAGACCAGGTTGCTCAAAGCCTCATCCAGCCTGGTCTTAAACACTTCCAGGGAGGGGGCATCCACAACTTCTCTGGGCAACCTGTTCCAGTGTCTGACCACCCTCACAGTGAAAAACTTCTTCCTAATGTCTAATCTAAACCTCCCCTCTTTCAGTTTAAACCCATTTCCCCTTGTCTTGTCATTAGTTGCCCTTCCGAAAAGTCCCTCCCCAGCTTTCTTGTAGGCTCCCTTCAGGTATTGGAAGGCCGCTATAAGATCTCCCCGGAAGAATAATAAAAAGACACCAGATTTGTCAGGCATGACTTTCCCTTAGTGAAGCCATGGTAGTTGTCATCAGTCATCTTCTCGTTCTCCATGTGCCTTAGCATAATTTCTAGGAGTATCTGCTCCATGATCTTGCCTGGCACTGAGGTGAGACTGACTGATTTGGTCCTAGTTATATACACAGGCCTGGTCAAGAGACAGAAGATTGCCCAAAGTGATAAGTGGAACCCAAGGAATTGGGTTTAAATTCTTTTTTTTGGTATTGTCAGATGTGTGATGAACACCTGGAAGGACTTTGGTGACTTCTTGAAGCTTGTTACGTTTTATATTCCCACTGTCTAAAATTGAGGCTTCAAACAGTGGGTTATTTTTCAAGACTCAAAAGAGAAAAAACTACAAAATTGTATTTGAAATAATGTTGATTTAATAACAAGAAAGATAGATCTCTCAGACTTTTCCAATAGTTATCATTTTTGCAGACAATGTTGTTGCCACTGGACTAGAAGGCAGATTCATACAAAGAAAAGGTTATAGTTACAAAACCTGTGTTATATTATTGGGCTCTTTGACATAGAATTGATTTGTACGTGAAATACATGACTCTTTAGAAAGTCCAGGAAAGGCCAAGGCATTACATAACCACATTTAAGCCTTTGAAATTGATTTTAAATGATATATAGACATTCTATGGTCCCAGTTGCGGTAGGGCATATTTCACCTTCACTTTTTCTTCATAAATGTTATTGCTTTTGCAAGAAGTGGATGATAGTTATGTCACAGAAAGTAGCTAGAAATCAGATTTAATGATAAAATATTACAGGAAACAAATGTTTTAAAGTGTCAGTCTAATTGTGAGGTCAATTTGAGACAAAAGACTTTTCCTAGCAGGTATCTGTTGTGTTAGCCACCCTTATTTTCCAGCAATTGAACTATACAAACCTAATTACAATTTAATATATAAAATTGGCTAATTTTTGTTTGCTTTTGCAAGTGGCAATTGTTTTTTCTTGTTAGGGGTTTTGAACATTTTTAAGGCACCTTATCACAGCAAGATGGCTGTATTCCACTGCTAATATAGTAGAGCTTTCTCTGTTCCTTTACTTTTGTCTAATTCTTCACCTCCCCTAAAAGAAAGGTGCTTCAAACCAGATCTTACAGTCTGAGTTTAACACCAAATATTAAACTGTCTACACTGGGGCTGTGTGTACACAGTTTCTTGCACAGTCACTTCTGTCCATTGTGTCTATCCAGAAGGACAAAAACTTCTGCGAACAAGAGCATGGACTCCCCTGCCATCCATCCTTCAGCTCCCAGGGGAAGCATTGTATTCAGGTTCTTGTTCAACTGGAGAACGCTTATTTGTGCAAAGGAGAACAGCATCAGTTGTTATATTGCATCATAGCAGTAAAGGTGAAAGCTGATCTGAAGTTATTCAGTGGTATAGGCAGAATTTACTTTAATTCTGCATGAAGACAAAATAAATGTGTATTTGCCCTTCTCCTTGGGGCAGCAAATTCAGTTCTTCCTCAGCAGCAGGGTAGGTCCTGGGCTTCGGTGTCTGGGGACGGAACCTGAAGCTGTTGCATGAGACCTTAGAGCAAGCTCTTGGGGAGAAAGAGGAGACTGGAAGGGCTCACTTGGCTTGCCAGTAGTGCTCCAAGCTGAGGAGCAATTTCACAGGCTGAGTGATGCCCTCTCCTCTCCCATTCTCTCATGCCAAGGCTGCTTCTGGTGCCAGGAACTGCTCCTGTGGAATGTCTCATTATCTCCCAATGGTATCAGCAGCAACTCAAGTCTATGAAGCAGTTTTGGCAGCCTGAGCAATCTACTGCCGTCAACAGCTACCTTTTCCATGGCTGAATGGGAAATCAGCTCATACAGCTGTGCCTCTTTCCTCCCTGCCTCCCTCAGAAGCAACTAAAAAAATGACAATTGCCCTGCATACAGGATTCATTTTTTGTGTTTATTGCATTATGATGCTTTCACTACATTTTTGGAAATAGCTGGCAAAATTTCCTGATTAAATATGCATCCGTTTTATTAATGGATATTCCAGTGAAGAGAAGGAAGTATGTATATGGTGTGTTCTGATTTGTTGTGATGAAAACCACAGTGTTTAAGCCTAACAACAGATTGTAGTTACGGTAAAGTGGAAATTCCCTCTGTGAGTCAGGATGCTCAAAGCTCAGGGCTGTCCTCCTCTTCTGTGACTGGGGAAGGGACAGCCCCTCAGGAAAGCATCATTTGGAGATATGCCTCTTTCTGTTTTGTGTACAGTGCTCTGCTAACTGCAGCGGTGGTTTCAAGACCCGAGATGTTTACTGCATTGATGTTCGTGAAAAACGACTTCTCAGGCCTTTTCATTGCCAATTACTTGGATATAAACCACAACTCAGCACTAGTTGTAACATGGAGCCTTGCTTGCAGTGGAATGTGGAGCCCTGGAATGAGGTATTGTTCTTTAAAAGAAGCTTTGGGAATGAGCAATTAGCTGTCAATTAACAGTGACTGTTAGATCCCATGCTGTGAGGTAAACTTTTGCTCAAAGAAAGACACACAGCTAGTACCACTCAGAGACTCTGCAGTCCTTGTGCATGGTTACAACACAAATTGTCATAGTCCTTCGTAAGACTTCCCAGAATCATTCCTAGGATTGTCTGTGATACACAGATAGAGCTGTCAATTACCATACCCTGAAACAGAGAAGTAGATGGCCTGGAAGATTTGTTTTAGCTATCTCACTGGATCCATAAATGTGATTTATTCAGACTGATTCCTTTTGCTGCCATTTTAATGTTGCTTTCTCATTATGATTAATTTAGAATTTTCCTTTACACTTTTGGTCTGGAATTTTATGGGGCCAGGGACTGAGGTCAGACATAAGATAAATCCTACTTTTTTGTCACTTCGTAGATATAATTCTGTGCCAACAAACTTTCATAGGCAGCCAGGCACATATTTATGTCAGCTAAAGCACATGGTCTGGTTACATTTTAGTGTTTGTTCCCACTAAAAGCAGCTTTGGAGAAAGCACCATAGTGTTTGTGAAACTGTGGACCTGATGCTTTTGGATTTCAAGGGAGGTGATCACATTGTCACCTCCCTCACAATGTCACACCTGCAATAAGGAGACCTCATCCTGTGTGTGTAGTGTGTGTGTTTCCTGTGGAGAGCAGTCAGCAAGGGTTGGAAAATAAGAGTAGCCAAATTACTGTGTTCGTTTGCCACTTAAAATATCTTAGAAAAACACTTGTCCCACGCAGGCAGTAGCCTTCATGCTCAGGTTATTGGATAGAATTGGATTGAAACAGTTCCTTTGTCAGTTGTCAACTCTGCCCCTCATAGGACAGGAACAATGCATTATTCAAAGTATATCTTATTTCATGTTAGGAAATATTTTGGTTATTTCAAGGCTCTACTGCAGACCTAGTGAATAATAATAAAAAAAATCAATTGGTGAGTAATAATAGACTAATAGAATGTGGACAAAAGAATGTTTAAAAAATAACCTGAGTCACTGTCTTTGTATGATGCTTTTATTGCTAAATATTTAATTTATTGTAATCATTGGGTGAATTTTATTGTCCCCAAATGCCTCATAAAAATGAGATGTTGCGTCTCACAAGCTTGTAGTTTCTTCAGTAAATACAGCAGATTAATCCTGCAGACATGTGACTTCCAATCTCATTCCTATTAGAGAATTTACTGTTGCTGGTGGTGCTGTGTGAGCAGTTCTGCATTGTCTGTTCATGTTGCCACTTCTGTGCTGTCATATTCCTTGCATTAATACATGTCAGGAGAAACTTTAGACCAAGTATTTTGCACCAATAATGGCTTCTTCCCTGTTTCTTTCCAATGAAATAAATGTCTCAGTGCAGAGCTTTTCTTCATATGTGGACTGTATGACTCGGTATGCAGGCTACCCTGTATGTCTTAATCACATAGGTCAGTGACAGGCCTCTTGTTACACATGGATCCACATTTCTAAATGAAGAACATCTCCTGGCTGTCTTTGTGGTTTTTCTCTGGGTTCTCATGCATTACCACCTCTCTCATCATGGGTTTGTGCACCTCTTTTGTTAGTGTTCAAGAACGTGTGGTGTTGGCCAGCAAAAGCGACGTATCTACTGCCCAGAAGGTGGCTACTGTGACTTGACAAAAAAACCTAATGCCATTGCAGCATGTAACAGACAACCTTGTACACAGTGGATTAACCAGGCATGGGGCCCGGTAGGATTCAGTTCTTTTTTCTTTTATTTGTTGTCATGAGTTGGCCACGTTCCGTCCTATTATCCGCTTGTCTGTGAGATGTGGTACCTAAAGCAAGTATAGTTTCTTATTCACAACTGAAGCTACAAAGGAAGATCTTTTGAAAATATTACTGAATATTTCGGAGCCAGTCCATCACAGATCCTTCAGGTGACAGGCGTCGTAGCTTCTATTTTTTGTTGCTGCATTAGATGTTGTTGGATGAAGGGCTGTTTTGGGGGTTTTTTCTCTTTCTAATAAAAAAGGAGTTACCACTGACATTCTTCCATTACTCATTTGAAATTTTCCACTGGAACGGACTACTGGGAAGTAAATTCAACAGTGTTCAGTTAGGTATAAAATAAGGTAACATTTCAAGAGGAGGACAGGATAGACCATCTTTAGAGAGGGAGGGAAAATCTTGATTTGTTAATAAAAGTTTTATTATTTGTTAATATGTGCCTAGCTGAATCCTTCCAAGTACAACCAGGCTTTCTGATCTGTCTATGCTTCCAGAGCCTCTCCAGTCATTGTAAGGTTTTACTGTTCAAGACTATTTGGAGGGAGAGAGAAAAACAGAAATTCTGAATTCTGACCAATAGCCTTCTATTTTGGCTTTTGGAAATCTAATTGACAAATATGAGGTGTATCTTTGGGGAACCTTCCAGTATCTGCAATACATGTTTCATTATAAAGAAACTGGTACATGTAATAAACCTTTCCCTCCAGTTTCCTTAATAAACCTATTAGTACATTACAAATAGTCCTCACAGCGCAAGAGAAAGAACACCAACAGCCAGGAGCCACAAAGAATGAAATAATGCAAAGTCATTTAAGACAGAAACTTATTAATGAGTTGGTTTTGGCACAAAGCCATTAGATGGGATATGCGTGTCATGTAATGTAGGGTTAGCGTAATTGTAGCACTTAAATATGGAAATGAAAATTGTTGGGACATGCATAAAATAGGCAACTGAATGCCAAAATGTATGGCAGCTATTTTACTGATTTATTAATCCCATTTATTTTACTTTATAAAAAACTATTTTAAACATTAATCTAAAGTTGCCTCAAGAGTACCTAAAATCTTTTAATGTACTTCACAGCAGTAATATTGTATCTTACACACAGAGATGTGCAAACCTCATGAAGTTCAACAAGGTGAAAGGTCCTGCACCTGGGTCAGGGCAATCCCAAGCACAAACACAGGCTGGGCGTAGAATGGATCGCGGGCAGCCCTGAGGAGAAGGAGCTTTGGGTGGTGGTGGACGAGAAGCTCAACATGAGCCAGCAATGTGCACTCACAGCCCAGAAGGCCAATAACCGTATCCAGGGCTGCATCAAGAGAAGTGTGACCAGCAGGTCGAGGGAGGTGATTCTGCCCTTCCACTTTCATAAGACCCCACCTGGCATACGGTATCCAGTTCTTGGACGCCCAACTTAAGGGCATGGACCTGCTGGAGCAAGTCCAGAGGAGGCCACGAGGATGATCCGAGGGCTGGAGCACCTCTCCTATGAGGACAGGCTGAGAGTTGGGGCTGTTCAGCCTGGAGAAGAGAAGGCTCCGGGGAGATCTTATAGTGGCCTAACAGTACCTGAAGGGGCTCCAGGAAGGCTGGGGAGGGACTTTGGACAAGGGCAGGGAGTGACAGAACAAGAAGTAATGGCTTTAAACTGGAAAAGTGGAGATTTAGATTAGATATGAGGAGCAAGTTCTTTCCTGTGAGGGTGGTGAGACACTGGAACAGGTTGCTCAGAGAAGCTGTGGATGCCCCTCCCTGGAAGTGTTCAAGGCCAGGCTGGATGAGGCTTTGAGCAACCTGGTCTAGTGGAAGGTGTCCCTGCTGATGGCAGGGGGGTTGGAACTGGATGATCTTTAAGGTCTCTTCCAACCTGCACCAGTCTACGATTCTATGAGTTATACATTAGAGAGAGGGTAATTCGCAGAAAAATTAAAGAGGTACCAGTACTGTCTTCATCTCTTGTGCTTCATTAGCTGGCATTCTTTTATCTGTAATGTATTTATCTTGCTGACCAATATTTATCTGAAGAGAAAAAGAATTTAAAATTAACTGGAATTCTCAGACACTCTGGGATTTTGGAAGAATTAAGTGCATTTATAGAAAAGTACAGGATCTTTTTTTGAAAATTTTCTCTTTTTTATGGCCTTATGTGTGCAGCCAGAACAAGCAGCTGGCAGTTGTTTTGTGGTTGTAAAGAAAGGGTAACCACTGTGTAAATGCACCAAAGAATAAACATCTCACTGAGGTTTTTTTTAAATCTTCAACTTGTTCATTTCTAGACCTAACTTTGTAATTGATTATTCATGTTAAATTTAGATGGCGAGAAAAGACGGGAAATAAAAAATGTTTCAGTGCAGCACTAATTTGGATTACTACTGTCTTACTTTATAGGACTGGCATTTCAGACCATCATCCTCCTCCTCTGTAGAACACAGTCCTCTTACTGTGATTACTCATTGTCAGATGCTGTACTATTTACCCATCCACCATATCCTGCCAAATCTGGACACTATGCACCATGGAGGTGTATGAGTGGAGAATGAAGTACATAAAGTACCTTAGTGTCTTGGTTCTGGATCATATGGCATTTTTAGCTTTCTGTCACATTGCAGCTCAAATACTGGCATATTACATAATTTCCATGTAAAAGACTTTTATATGTGTTAAAATTTCTCTCTTGCAGTGCACCGTTTCTTGTGGAGGGGGCATTCAGCAAAGAACTGTGACGTGCATGAATATAGAAACTAATGAAACTGAAGATCACAGTATGTGTTTGGATAAACCCAAGCCCACAGAGTATCAGAAATGCAATCTGCAAGAGTGCACAAAGAGTCCAGGTATGACAATACACTTGCAATCAGTTTCCAAAAAGCTCTCCATTTGTGCTGAGATTCTGCAAAAACTGGGAGCTGCCCTAATGTATCAGCTTGTTGTGAGTACTACAGGCTCAGTAATTATTGGTCAGCCTAACCTGCTGCTGCTCAGCTGCACTGTTGGCAGAATCACATTGCCATGTTCTTCAGCCCTACTGGCCTTGTGTTACCATGATGGAGAATGCAGTTCTCTAAGCATGCATCCCTAATTTATGGTGCCACAGCTAAATTAATAGATCTGCTTCTATTGAACAGGCTGTTTTGTGGCCTGTGGAAGGACATTCTCTGAGTCCAAACAGATGCCATTTCTTGAAGACAGATACCCCTATGGGAACTGCAAGTTCTGGACTGGGAGTGCAAGCAAAGTGAGACTGTAAGAGACTGTTTTCTGTAAGAAAAATCAGACTGGTAGTAAACCCAGATACAGTCTTGGCACTATGAATTCAGTGTCCCACAGGGTGAGACTGTCTCAAAGAGGTGGAGAGAAGTCATCTTGTGACTCAGGGTGTCCAGCACCTCTCTGCTTCAGGGATCCAGGAGCCCAGTTATGTAGATGATAATAGCCCAGAAAAAAAAGTGTCAGGGGAGGGAGGAACCTTATGGAAGGGTATCTTTATCTGTAGTCTATATACTGCAGTATCCAGCAGGTACCCTCAGGTAAGAACAACAAGAGCTCAGAGTCATTCTGGAACAGCCTTCAAAGGCCTTTTGGAGGAGGATTTTTCCCCCTTAGCAAGTCAGCAGTAAGGATCCAATCTGGCAATGAGTCAAGAGGTTGACTCCTGAGGGAACTGCAGATCTGGCATGCACTTGAGAGTGATGCATTAGTTCTCCTGTTGTTCAAAGAACTTTAGCACATGGTTTGCCCTAGCGTTGAATTGGTCTGCTTACCACCTGTCCCTCTCATGTTCAGAAAGACAGACTCAGATAAATGCTGCCTACACGGATTAGTAATAATTTGTTTCTGTGAATAATAGCTGAAGGGGCCAGTAAAACATAAATGCACTCCTGGGTAGACCAGTGGTGCATGCAGCCCAATATTGTGTCTCCAGCAGTGGCATTAGAATATGCTACTTAGGGAGAATACAGGAGCTTAGTCCTTTCCTGTGATGCTTTTCCATGATATTCCCCCAGCATTCCCAGCTGATGTACTAGGACTATTAAAGGCACCTCTCTTAGTACCTTTTAGTTTAATTTTATGGAACTTTTTCCATTAATATGTTGCATCCCTTTTTCACCCTGTGATGCTGTCTGCTTTCACCTTTTCCTGTGGCACCAAGTTACAGAGATTCACAGCCTGCTGTGAAAAGACATGCTTTTATCTGTTTTAAACAACCTTCATATTAGTTTCATTGAGTTTCCATAGTTGTAGTGTTGAGGGGTTTGCTGAACAACAGCCTTGCATTTGGCTAATCCACCACCTTCCTGCTTTTGCAAGCCTTGACTCTCTGCTCAGCCACTTCCTTTCACAGCTGAAGACCCCTATTTTGTAATATTTAACTAAATCTGTCACATTTCAGTTTATTAAAGCTGCTACAGACCTATTGGCACCATAATACAGACAGTACCAGTCCCTGGCTTGTTCTAGTGCTGCAGAAATTGAAGCATAGTCAAGCTGAACATGTAGTTGCACGTGCATTGTCTGTGCTTTTCTCCCTGCCCTGCATGGCTCTGCAGCATGCTGCCAGCCCATTGCTCTTGTCTTAAATAAATGTACTGTTACAAGGATACTGAAGTACCAGACTCACCGGTCATTGTTGCTGCACTTTCTCTGGCAGTTCCTAAAAGCAGAAACATTGAAGTGAAAAACAGATCAGCTACATCTTCTGCAAAAACCTCACTGAACAGTAATAAAAGAGTGCTGTATTTTCCAAGACAGAAGGTCATCTGGAGTTTAATAGGACCTGTTCACTTAAAAGTTCTAAAATTTCAGGGGGGATCATGCTGACCAGTAATACAAAGGAAGAGAAAGCCATCATAAATAACAGCCTTAACCAGCATGACTGTCTGACATAAAACAGTTTAAAATTCTAAAAATAGACATAATTTGTCAGCAATATACAGCTAATTCTTCTCATCTTCTCCACCATAGGGCTATCCTGCAGCAAAGACCAACTGTCGGTCCGTTTCTGCCAGAGGCTGAAAGGCATTGGCAAGTGCTTGCTGCCATCAATACAGACTCAGTGCTGCTTCACATGTAGCCAGCCCCGAATTCGTAACAAAACAAGATATTGGGATCAGCGAGGCCTCAAGCAGCAGAATTACACTAAATCTAGAAGGAAATCACCTCAAAACCAAGAAAACAACAACCAAGCTGCTCAGCACTAGCTGTTCTTTATCAAGTTGCTTCTGTTTACAGGTTTTACGTTCCTTGTTTTTTTTTCTGAACCATCCCACGTAAATGGAAATCTGTGATCAAAACTGGGAAAATACATTTCTTAGGGTTATCAGTCCTAATTTACTGCTTCAAGTTTGTCTGTGTAATAGTCCAAAATTTGTGACATAATTTGCAGTGTACCAGCAAGTAGTACTTCTTAGGCATGCATAGAGGCTAGAAACAAGCTTACAGGAATTTTTTTATTTTTTTAAATGAATGATTTACTTGTTTGTTCTTCCGTCTCTTTTCCGAAACCCACACAGCTCCACTTTACTCAAGAGTGCTGAGTGAAGGTGGCCAATGGGGCAGCAGAAACAGACCTGTGCTGTGGGCCAGATCCCTCTATGCCCACTCACTTTTCTCTTTTTAGGAGTCAAGGTGAAGTGGCAGCATTTCTCTAAATCGTTTGCTTACTTCATAAATTTAAAAGCAGAGTTTTATAATAACTGATTATGATATGCAGGCCAAATTGAAATATTGGATTTTTCAAAAGAAAAAGGTGTTCCTTTAGTACTTGATTGAACCACTAAAGGATACCTCAGCAGTAGCCTGTCCTGGCCAGTTTTCTCCTGCTGCAAATGTTTTGCTCTAACTTAAAAACCCTACCAAATCTGGAATGTTAAGTTCCCAAATACGTTTTAAGCAACATTTCTTAGTACCATGAAAGCAATGCTGTTTGCAGCTATGACCTTTAGTGGTAGAGCTGTCATTTAATCCAGCATCTCCTAGTGGAGTGTAAGCCCACATCCACAAGAATACTCCATCACCTCACTCAGAGCAGTTTTTCTCCAATGCAAATCATAGTGAAGGTAAGGGCACCTGGGAGAGGAGCCTGAAATCCAGAGTATCTGTGTAGCTCTGGGCCTCAGGCTAGTGACAAGACCACTAGCCAAATAGCATATCTGATTTGCTGTTGAGGAAAATGGCAGAACAAACTGGACCCTTTGAAGCAAAGCTGGGCATTTTCAAAAGAGCTGGGCAGAGTCTGACATTTAGATTTCTTTGAAATTCAGTAGGATTTGGACACCTTGGTTCTTAATGCTCTTTTGAAAATGACAGATTTACTCCCTAGCTACCTGACAATTTGAGTTTGTAATACAGGGAAATGTCACTTTTCGCAATGTAGAGTGAGACACATAGCCACAAATCCAAGTGTCACTATGGTTACAGAGCTGTGACTAGCAGTAGCCCTATTTCTAGGCAGACCTTTATGAAAGTTAATAGAAATATTTGGGCCTGGCTATAATGTATTAACTTAATGAAGGCCACAGGTCTAATTGTCCTTTTTCATAGGTTTGTGACCTTTGTCTAAGGGCTCTCTTCTTCACTTGAAGTCTCTGGGAGTTCAGGATATGCAGCATGGTAAGGTTAGATTTATTAACCTCTGTGGTGGCAATATAACCCCAGTTATCGGTGCTGATAAAACTTAAAATCCACTGTTAAAAATATGGTGCTAGCATAACAGATGTGGGGGATGACTTACAATGGTGCGTGTGCATGCACATGTGTACATAGCATACATGCACATACTCTTAATACTTGTCTATGGTGTTGCTGGCCAATGCCAGACATAATGTATTTCAAGTTTCACAGTGTGCTTAAATCCTTCTGATGTCCTGAATAGCTACTGACCCTTTGAGCAATAGAAATCTGGGCAGTTCTGTTCCACTGGACACAGAAACGTTGACTCATGTGAAGGAGTGGAGGTGTCCCATCTGATTCGGGAAGCATTTGGGCAGGGCTTGGCCTCAGGCTGCATTGTGTAGAGCAGAGCCTGTACTGCTACGTCCAAGGCAGTTCTCTGATGGCCATACAACCTAGACCAGTGGACAGTACAGATGCTTCTGATGTTCCCAGAAGCATCTTCTAGGATTTGGGCAGGACAAAGTTAGATTCACTTCAGAGTCAGACTCTTCCGTGCTCAGAGGTACCTGCAAGGTTTTATCCACAGAGGTCAGCAGAAGTGGGACATAGGTCATGTGGGCTAATAAGAAAGGCACTGACTGAGTGGATATAGTGCAGGTGGGAGGAAAAGTGCCTGGGGATTTTGTCCCTGCTGGTGTGGAGTAAAACCATTTCTGGCCTCATTGTTTTCTTCAGGGAGCTGTAATTTCATTTGAAATAGGTAAAAGTGAATGAATTATATTGTCGACATTAATCAAAACAATCTTTCTACCCAGGGAAGCACAGTCATCACTGTTGCTCAGCTTAAAAATTTAGGGAAAAGACTGTGACAACATGAACTGTTTTAACAGAGCAGTGCCACTGCTGTATTATACATAGGTTCTTACACGCACTGATCTGCCTAGTATCTCCTCTCTACTAGTAATATATGCAGTCATCTCTCCCATCCATTTAGCAAGATTCCTTTCTTATGACATAACTCCTTTTAAGTAAAGATGAAATTATGATTGTAACCCAGATGGTCACTATTCTCAAAACTGAATAGAGTATTAAGTGCAGAGGCATAATATCATTATATTATCATATTAACCTGAGACACATCAGCTTCAACAGGTTGCTCAGGAAAAAATGTGTATTTGGCACATTCACTGCTTGTTTTAACATTTCAACATTTACAAAGCAAACTATGATGACATACTTGTTTCAAGCTTCAATAAATGTCATTGCTTACATCTGGTGTCTCTGGTATTTTATGTTTCCAGTGCAAGAAGATTCTTAAGATGGAATTCCAAGGAAAAAAAAAATTAGAAAGTATCTTTTCTGTTCCAGGGGAACCCTTGTCAGTGAGGTATTTTGATACTTGATATTCCAACATAAAAGAAATCGCTAAAAAGGGTGAGGGAAAAAGTAGTGTAATTAAGCATGGTGTTAAGTAAAAGTATACGTTAATAGGCTGAGTTATTTCCTATGAAACAGATAACATCTTACCACTTCTAGTCCAAACAGATGCGTGCATGCCTGTTGTGTCTGTTTTCTCTGTTGTGGGATGTATCTGTTCTCCTGAACAGCTGTATACATTATGATCATGCCCACTGCTCCCCACCCCCTCAAATTCTTTCAGAACTCTGGTTTTGCATGTGCTGCTGATGCCTAGGAACTTAATTACACTAACCCCGTTCCTTGACCTGCAGCCCAGGAGCACAGGCATCACAGCTGAGTGTATATGCCTGGATAGAGAGTACCGTAAGTTTGCACTTAGTTACCAAACTCCACCCCGGCATCCATCCATGGGTTCAGCCTCATCGCACTCTATGGAAGTTGCAGGAAGGAAATGTGGATCTCCAGCGGCAGGGTCCTGCACCGATGCTCTAAGGGAGAGGAATGAATTGGATTGAGAAATGAGTTGAGGCTCCCTCCACTTTGCAAAGTCTCATTAGGCATTTACTGGATGACCTGCTACATAGCCTGACGAGCAGTTTCTGCTCTCTGCTGCACTGTGTGGCATGGCTTGCTGCACTTCTTTGGCCTAGGCAAGCATGCAGCACCCACCAAAGGAACAGCCTTTTAGCTGCCTAGTGCCAGCTAGAAATGAAATCAGCATGCAGAACATTGTGCTTGTGGCTCTAGTGATTCTCTCCATGAAATAGGGTCCCTAGAGTATAGGTGAATTTGGGCAATCAGTTGTCCATTTTCCCCCATGACTTCTGTAGAAAAGTGGTTCTCAGTCAGTGGCTGTACCAGTTTTATGGAAATACATGAGAACTGCTTGATATTACCCATGCTTAAGCAGAATTAACTGTACATAATGTAGATGTACGTATCCAGGGGTAGCTACAGATAGAAGTTATTTACTACATTTTGGAAGTAATCACTGACTGATTGTCTGCTGATTTTTATATATGCAACCTCCGTCTGTACATTCTACATGTTGTTATAAGGCACTTTGAGATCCAGGACAGTGCTCAAGGAGACCCTAAATGTCGTACATAGTGACAGCAAACTCTTCATAGCATGTGCCTCAAACTGCTGGGTACCATCTTGTAACTCACTGACAGGGAGATGTTGGGCTTCTTCCTTCTCTAAGCCTTTCTGAGGCTGCTGGCTGCAAGGGTGAGTGTGGCTTGTGTCAACCTAGTGACAGCAGCCCTGCTGTGAACCAGCTCCAAGTAAGCCAAAGGTCAGGTGAACATCCTCACCAGTGACCTGGAATAACTTATTTCTCCAGTTGAGTTTCACATAGAATCTGATCTCGTGCTCTGCAATCATAGTGGAGTAGGCACTGGGGTGTGTACAGGTGTCTCATTAGTACCTAAGTGTAAAAAGAGCTACTTCGTGGCATCAAGGCACAATCAAAACTAGACCTTTTCAGTTGGAGATGTCTAGGTGTGCAGGCTTCTCTGCCAGCAGGAGCACACTTGCATGATGATGGGATGCGATGAGAGAGAAGTAGGGATTTAAGGAGTGGTATTCCACACGGAGGCACTTAATGCAACAGCACTGATAGATTAATTTTGTGGAGACAGAAACACAGTACACCAGAGACTTAAGAAGAAATTTCAGCCCTGTTCAAGTGAATGTCTTAGGTGTCCTGTTTTCAGTGGGTTATTGTGTTCCCCTGGAGAACAGGAATTGGTGCCAGACACCTGTTTCTTCATTAGGCTGACTGATCCGACTGTGTTTATCAGGGACTCATTCTGCTACAGAATGGTGATTAACAAGAAGCATGGTTTATTGCTGCTGCCCAGCACTGCAGCCTCCGCAGCCCTTACACCTCCAGGTAGTAGAATATGGGGAGCTCACACAAGGATAATGCTTATTTCTGTGACTGATAGATCCCAGCCTCCTCCTTTCTCTTAATGAACAAATGCCAGTATCTCCAGCCCACCCACAGGAACAAAACCTGGAATATGTTAGCCAAGGAGTACAAGTCTGTCCTACAAACATAGTGGTGGCAGCAGTAAGAGCCAGGAGGATAAGCAATAACTACAGTACCTTCTGAGTGGCCAACCACCTTCTTTAAGCTGAGATGCCTGGGTTTTGGGAGGAA